GCACTATTCTCGTCACCACTGATCCCAGCACCACTACTCCCTACACGACTACATTAGGCACCCACCGTCGATAATAAGACACGTGTTTGCCACTAAACAAGGCATTCTTAGGTGAAGTAGACTCTATGGTGGTTGACCGCTATATGATTTATCTTCAAACGCTACTTTAAGTTGTCTTTAATTCTCGTGGTGTCACAGTCATTTAAATTTAAAGTGATAGAGACAGCATGATAGTTAAAGCTACATTTTAAAATTGAGCAGCGTTTAGGTATTTGATCATTAGCTAATTAATTTACAACATATTTAATATAATGCATTAACAGATAACGCATGATTCTAATAATTATACTAATGTTATAACCGCTTTTACAGTGCTATTACGGTAAACAGCCTAGATGGCATGCTTTCGATTAAATTATAAATCAAAGTAAGATTATTTTGTAAAACAAAGGGTACACAGTTCATCAAAACAATCCTTGTTGCTAGATGCAAAGGAAGAAAGGCTTTCATTCGCGTGCGCGTCTAAGTAGCCATTTGATCGGTTTGCTTGACTGCGCTTCCTTGTTGCACTATCAATGATTTTACTGTACTTGTTAGCGAGTTGTTGTGATATGCGATCTCCGTCTAATATTTAATTTGTTCTCATGCAATCATAGCAGAGAGGATCGCGGCCATCTGTCTTGGTTTTGTCCATTATTACATTTAGTGAAATATTTTCGTATAAAATGAGTGTAGTAAGTAAATTAAAGATAAGTAGAATAAAATTACTCGAATATTTTGCAATTAAGAAAATTTAATATATAGTTTAGTTGTCTTTAGAGTTTTAAGTTTATTCAAATATAAGTACTTTTGATAGTTTTTCCATAACACTTTGATTGATGGTAAATGGATGCTGTGGCCCATAGACTTATCCTCGATTTAGAATCAAGTTGCAGATACGTTGTTACCCCTGAGGTCTAAGATGAAATACCTCGTTTCTTGTGAGAGTCCCTGGTTCTTAACGCTCTCCAAAAGAAATATAGTAGCAATGAGCTGCTATTTCACGCTGGAACTCTGTGAGAGCGTGGTTTTTCCTCGGTCACGCCGACCCATTCGTAATGCACAGCGTGGTTTTACCACACATAAAAAATCATTACAGTCAATAAGTCCCTGAACCCCGGCCTAACCTTGTCTCAAGAGATGAATATTTGCCATACTTACCACGCTTGGCTGATAGCGTCTGAAAATAATATAAAAACCGCACTTTTTATATTATTTTTAGTTGATATCAGAAAGATATTGCTTCTCATCACCTTTTGCATTTCCCTCCGGCGTCTCTCACGACACCCACGGGACGATATGGGGTATTGGATATTCTTACACCGCCACTACACGGTGAATAGAAAAAAAGGGGAAAATATTTTAAAATGAAGCCAATTCAATTGATTAGATTGTTGATGAATTTTTTTAGTCTATTTAGTCGTATATATTTTCAATAATTTTACTCCGACTGTGTCCTTTATTACGGCCTATCAAAAGTTCGCTGTTAAACCCAAGGTTTCTCCAAGGTCGCTTCACGCTTCACTGGGGAAATATGTGCCAAAGTAACCACGATTGGCAGGCTGATTGGAAACCGTAGTTTTTTTTACTATTTCGAGTAGTTACCAGGAAGATGCTGCTACATATCTCCTGTTTGATTCCCGCTGTCACCTGTTAATTTTTAAGCCCACACCACAAGGCGTATTTGTAATCTGTTATTTAACTATAATAATTATGTTTAAATGTAATAATATTTATGTCTTATGTATTTTCGTAATTCTTTTTAGAAATAAAAATGGAGTAAATAAAATGGTTTTGCAATATTCTATTTTACAAAGTGTATTTGTATTATGTTATTTAGCTATAATAGTTTGTAATTTCTAATTATTTTTAATGTGGTAAAGCCACGCTGCGTCTATATTATGGTTGTAGCACGAATGGCTCGACTCGATCGGGGTAGGACCACACTCAGACAGGATACCAGCGTAAAATTGCAGCTTAATGTTCGTATGTAGAGTGTACAGAACCTGAAACCTTTTTTACTGGAAACGAGGCATTCAATCTAAGTATTTAGGGGTGACAAATGCATCTTCATTTTGATTCTTAATTGATTATAAATGTAGACGTCTATGGACCACAGCATTCACTTATAATCAGGTGGACTGTGTCCTCTTATGTATTCTTTGAGATTCTTTAAAAAAATAGTTTTGCTATATTCTAAATGGGTTTAATACGGTGATTTTGGGTCTCTTTTATTTTGATTTGATCTATTTTTTTACTATTAAGTGTTCCTTCTGACTACGATTGACATATGTTTTGTCGATGTTACTCCTAAAACCTCTAATGAAGTAGGTTTTTGTTCTACGTGTAAAAAGACGACGGATTAGAAATGACTGTTGCTGGCTGACGCTTTTTTATATAAGTAAGGATGATAAACGAGCAAACATTCCAACTGAAGCTTTTTTTATTAAAGTGAAAAAGAAACTTACAGTCTACGTGATTTTTAATGTACTGGATGATTTATTAGCGTCTGAAAAAATAGGGTGTAAAGCCTATGACACTGATATTTTACAATTTTTTTATTTTACTTTAATATATCATGAAATTGATCTATCAATAAATATTACTAATTGGTGGGTAGTTTTAATTGATTTATTTATTTAGTTCAAAAATTTTGTTGCTATTTTTGAGTACCGAGAGTGTATTTCAAAACAGTAATAGTAATAGTATTTATTTATAGATCAATTTCAAAATATGTTAATGTAAAATTAAAATAAATAATTGTAATTTACAAGTACCATAGGCTTCTATTCAGTTCACCTGTTACGTCCTATTTTTTATCTAAACTGTAAAAAAAATCACCCAGTATAATGTACTCGTAACATAAGCAAGGGCAAAAGATCATGCGGTTCATCTGATGATAAGTGATTACCACCGCACATGAACGACTACAACACCAGGGGAATTACAGTAGCTACTTACCTGATAGTAACTAGCTACTGTAGTGCATGGGCACCTGCAGACAGGTCCAAATACAGAAGGGCTATAATTATATTGGTTCTCTATACTCTTCAGTGATGATTGGGGACCAGCGCAGACAGGCTCGCAGGTAGGAAAGGAGTCCTTATGCCTAAAAGCTTACCTTGTAAGTAAACGTTGTGGCACCTTTAGCGGTTGAATTTTAGTCCCCTAACTTTTTTTTATAGAAGAAGGGGACAAATGAGCACACAGTCCACCTGATAGTAAATGGATGCTGTGGCCCGTAGACATCTACATTTATACTCGATTAAGAATCAAAACGCAGATGCGTTGTCACCCGTGAGGTCTAAGATGGAATGCCTCGTTTCCAGTAAAAAAGAGTCTCCGGATCTCTACACTTACCATACGAAACACAGCGGTATTAAGCTGCTATTTTGATTGGAGAGCGTGATCCTTCTCCGGTTGAGCCGACCTATTCGTGCTAACACCATAATATAGCTGTAGCGTGGCTCTACCAGGTACAAAAATAAACTTACGAGTCACATTAACATTCAAGAAATATTTTATGAGAGTGTTGTCCATCCTCGGTTGAGTCAACCTGTTTATGCTGCAGATAAAGTACAGCTACTGCATAAATACACCTTTCGCATAATGTTAAAAAATTAAGTCTCCATGTCACAATGACCTGGCGTTGAGTTGCGACGCAGAGGGTCACGGGTTGGAATCCCGCATTCGTTCTTGTGAAATTTATGTTTGTTAACTGCCTCCACGATACAGAAGAAATTCCTATTGACCTTACAACGTTTTCAAACAAGATAAAAAAAATTAAGATTATTCAATTTATTATTAGATTTTATTAAATAACATTTGGCAAAACATTACTGACGTAAATATCTTAAAACTAATTAATGTGGTAGCGTGGTAGAGTTACGCTGGTAGTGTATTGTTGTCCCATGACCCCATATAAATGGGACCAATAATAAAAAAGAATGTACCGACTATTTTATCTTACTTTAATGTTAACTTTATCTTGCATGACGTAAAATGCGACTAAGGGGATATTGATTTTGTGATTATGTAGCTGTTGGTTAACCACCTATCATAGTTCTTTCACAATTTCCCACCTACACCCATATTTTTTGGCGAAACATATTCCGGGTAGGTCACTGCTCTTTGGACTCTGCCTACTCCGTCGAGGTTTACAGGCATGACATATGTACGACATTATATCATGGCTATATTTTTTTTATAGAACCAGGGTGACAAACGAGCATACAGTCCACCTGATGGTAAGTGGTTGCTGTGGCCCATAGAGTAGACATCTACATCTATCCTCGATTACGAATCAAAATGCAGATGCGTTGTCACCCTTGAGGACTAAGATGGAATGCCTCGTTTCCAGTAAAAAGGTTCTCCGGTTCTCTACACTCACTATACAAAACACAGTAGTATTAAGCTGTTATTTTACGCTTGTATTCTGTGAGAGCGTGGCCCTTCCTCGGTTGAGCCGACCCATTCGTGCTACAACCATAATATAGCTGTAGCGTGGCTCTACCACGTATAAAATCATGTTTGAGTGGGCTCAACTGAGAAAGGATCACTATCTCAGTAGCAGCATAATGCTGCAGTGTTTCGTATAGTGAGTGTAGAAAACAGGAGACCCTTGTCACTAGTGATAAATCAACCCGTCTTAGTCCTTAAGGGATATACTGTATACTATATACTGTATTTTGATTCTTAATAGAGGATAGATGTAGGTGTTTATGGGCGATCATATGGATTATATACTCGTTGACATTTATTACAGCGTATAAAAGTCCACTGCTGAACACAGGCCTTCTTCACAGATCACCTCTGCCCGGATTTTGCCACTCGGGACGATATCGGGTGGTGTATATTTTTACACTACTACTACATACATACCTAATAAATGAGAAATACATAATAACAATTACATAAATAAGAAAAAAATTGTTTAAACAAATTGAGTGTATTTGGTGTATTTAAAGTTGAGACCTGGTTTGTTTTTGCTGCCCCGTCAGCCCGTCACTAGCCGTATTTGCCAAATGATTGGCTTGCGTGCGACCACGCTCTATGTTATGTGATATCTGACGAATTTAAATTGGATGTTGTGGTCGACTTAGTGCGACTTATCTTTATGTCTGTGTATTTGCGGTTAGAAATATATCTTTCAGTAGATCGATAGTTGAAGTTACCCATACGTGTCCGCTATAATGTAATTTACTTTTTAACTTTCCGCTATGAAAATCAACGATTAAAAAAAATCGGGAAGTTATTGGTTTTAAGGCGGTTTTCGAAAATCGAGTTCTTATCAGATCTTCACTTTTTGTGGTCCTAGGAAGCTATTCTGACTATTCCTACCAGGATGTCCCTTCGTATGTATTTGTGTGTGTGTATGTAAACTCCTTATAACTTTTGAACGGCTTGATTGATCGAAACGCGCCATTCAAAAGAGTTCTATTGTCGTTAGATTTGAATCAATTCGGCTAAATAGATTTTGAGAAATCTCAAAAATTAAATTAAAAAAATAACATCAAATGCCGCAAACCGCATCAAAATGGTTCATTCGTTTTCATTTATCGACATATTATAGCTTCAACAAATCCTTACTGCGAGAGATCTTGTATATTATAATTTTTCGATTCGAGGTTTAATAGTAAAAGTTTACCTTATTATTATGTACGAGTATACAGTCTCAAAAGGTCTAAGGAAGCTTATTATGTCCACGCCTTTTCTCCATAAGAATGCTTTTTAAATGTGCTGTGAATGATTGCAATGGAAAATCAGATATACATATATATATAAAAACCATAAACATAAACACTCACGCATGTCACCCAGAGGGGTAGGCAGAGACTACGGACTTCCATTTGACACGATCCTGACATACCTCCTTCGCCTCCTTTACATCCATATATCTACGCTTGACTGCCTCGTTGGTCTAGTGGTTGTAGTAGTGCGACTGCTGATCATGAGGTCCTGGTTTTGAATCCCGGGTCGGGCCAAAAAATCAATTATTGAGTTTTCTGTCGAGAGATGAGAAATTCTCAGTAGCTGCTCGGAGTCAGGAAGTTAGCGGTGTCTCACCTCCGTGCCTCGGAAAGCACGTAAAGCCGTTGGTCCTGCGCCTGATCTCTCTCCCGGTCGTGTCGGTTTACCATCCCATCGGATTACGAGAGTGAGGGAATAGAGAGTGCACCTGTGCTTGCGCATACACTTGGGCACTATAATCCTGTCCTGCACCGATGGCTAGCCTCCGTTGAGGCAGGCCGCTGTGGCGAAATTCGGTCTGGAGGACATTATTACTATTATTATTGGGATATCTGTATAGTTTTCTCATCTAGTTGGGTTCTATAAATATATAATAATAAATTAAAATGAAAAGATAAATATACATAAATATCAATAAAATAGAATAAATACAAAAAATACATAAATAAATAAAGATCCAACCAGATGGAACCCCTGGCCGGGGGAGACCAAACGGCCGAGGGTTAAGAGAGAAGGAAAAGAAACCGGCGGACGATGCGGGCGGTATCGAGGAGCACTGCCTTCTGCATTTGAGCCCGGAGCGGTCCGTCACGGAGTCCCAGTCGCCTCAGATGACCCGAGAGCCTGACTGGGATTAGCCCATTCGCAGAGACGACTACAGGAATAATTTCGGCCGGGCGACCACTCCATATGTCGGTCACCTCGTGAGCCAGGTCCAGATATTTTGTTCGCTTATCTGTATCGGCTTTTACGAGGTTCTCGTCATACGGAATGGTAATGTCGACCAAAAATATCCTTGACTGTGCCCGGTCCATCAGCACAATATCAGGCTTATTCGCAAGAATAGTCCTGTCTGTGATGATGACCCGGTCCCTGTAGAGCCTGGCGCGGTCATTTTCGAGCACGGCTTCCGGCAAGTACTTGTAATACAGCAATTTCTGGTCCACGAGACCGTATTTCAGAGCGAGCTCCTGGTGTAGAATTCTGGCTACTAGGTTGTGCCTGTGCAAGTACTCAGAGTTAGAAAGCGCCGAACAACCGGAGATGACATGCCTAAGTGACTCCCCGGGATGGCGACAAGCTCGACAGACGTCGACGGTGCCATCCTTTAGGATGTATCTCCGATAGTTGTTGGTCTTAATAACCTGATCCTGTATTGCATAGACAAAACCCTCGGTTTCCCCGAAGAGGTCACCGAAACGTAGCCAGTTGAGGGAGGCGACTGTATCTACGAAGGGCTCATGTAGAGCCCTGTAGTACCTCCCGTGGAGCTTTCTCCTTCCATACGGTCTCCCGGTCGGAAATGCTAAGCACTACTGGGTCCTGCCATTGCTCGTTGGCTAAGGATAGAGGGGTAAGTCCTTTATCACTAAAAATGACGTCATTATAGAATGGATCATCCGATCTTGCCAGGAAGTAATGACGGAGGCTGCACACTTCGCGATTATGCATGGTGAGCGCGCTCAGAAAGCCACGCCCACCATGCTTTCGCGGCAAGTACAGCCTCATTACCGACGATCTCGGATGATGCATCCTATGGGACGTCATTGTAGTGCGGACTTTTCTATCCAGGGCGTTAAGTTCAGTCTGACTCCACCTGAGTATGCCAAAGGTATATACATAAGGACAGGTATGACCCAACCGTTATATGCGTGTGTCTTATTCACACCGGACAAAAGGCTATTAAGCACTTTGGTCAAGCGTGCATAAAACACGTCGCAAACTGACTGTTTCATACCAGCCTCATCGATACCGATGTTCTGTGACATACCCAGGTATCGGTATGTTTCAGCCTCGGAAAGGGTTCTTAAGTTGACGGGCATAGATAAATCTATGCCCTCAGAGTTAGCAACCCTTCCCCTTTCAACATGGAGGACCGCACACTTATCCGTCCCCAGCTCCATTCCAATGGAATTGCTAAGTTCATAAGTGATTTTTAGCAATTCCATAAGATGGGAGCGACTGGAGGCGAATAACTTGAGGTCATCCATATAGAAAAAGGTGGGTCATTTTTGTCCCTCCTTTCCGTAGCTGAAATCCTCTCCCGGATCCCTCCAGTAAGGTACTGAGAGGGTTCAGGGAGAGGCAGAACCAGATTGGACTCCGACAATCGCCCTGGAAGATACCCCTTCTTATCCTTATGTGGTTCTCCGCAGCCATCATCCGCTCACCCAGATGACAAAGGATCGTACTCCACTGCCCCATACACTGCTCGAGGAAGTCTCTCACTGTACAGTCTATCTTGTACAGCTCGAGGACTCTCTTTAGCCATGTATGGGGCACCGAGTCGAATGCCTTTCTGTAGTCTATCCAGGCGGCGGAGAAGTTCCGACGGTTGCGTTTCACCACTTTGCCAATGACCGCGTCAATGAGGAGTGGTTCCTTGGTTCCACGACTACCGCCCCGACATCCATTTTGAGCGCGCGACATCACCTGATTTGAGTCCAGGTGACGAGTGATTCTCGCGCTCAAAATGGATGTTAGTGTCTTATATATGGTGGGTAGACACGTAATAGGGCGGTATTTGCTCGGGTCTGAGGTAACCTGGTCTTTAGGAACCAAATGAGTGATCCCAGTAGTGAAGAGGCTAGGGAGCGACTTCTGGTTTAGAGCCTCTTGAAACTGTCGGGCGAGCACAGCGTGACACACTATGAACCCCTTCAGCCAGTAATGATGCAGCCCGACGAGCCCCGGACTTTTCCAGTTCGGGGCCCTACGGACCGCCTCAGCCACGTGTTCCGGCGTTATGGTGATGAGGTCCATAGGCGTAACACTCGCACCCTGGCTCGCCACAACTTCCATCCAAGGGCCTTCGCTGTGGTTTACGGGCTCTGACCACAGGCCACGCCAGAATGCGATAATGTCAGCCTGATCCGGTCCTTGGCCCGCTCCACATACCTTTGGTCGCTCCAATGATTTATAGAGCCTCTTCTGATCACTCTGGAAGAGACGATTCTGGTTGAACCGCCTTGACCTCTCGGTAAATCGTCGAATCCGCTTCCCCCAAGCAGCGATCTTTTGCTTCAGGTCGTCTATGCGCTCCGTTAGTTTCTGCGTGATATCCGGCTGGGAAGAACTGATATTTGTCCCAGCAAACGCCATCCTAACGGTGCGCATGATCCTCGGTCTATTATTACCCGACCTGAAGCTTGTCAGTCTGCCGATAAGGGCCCTTGCCTTTGTGATACGGTCCTCAATTCTTTTTCTCCAGGCTGGGATGGCGCTACTTTGTGTAGTAGCGCGTCCAGTCATGGGAAGTTTGGCGCCAATAATACGGCAAACTGCCACTGCGACGCCAAAGAGAATTGAGTCCGTCTCGCAAAGATCCCGGCTGGCTTCCAAATAGGTCACCAGCATTGGGTTAAGAGTTAATCGGGCTCTCACGACAGCCCGATTTCGCTTGCTTAGCGGTATGCGGGGGAAGTCGCGGTCGATTTTCGAGAGGGATGCTGCGCGTTTCCAAAATCGCCTCTTCCAATATACTCCTCATTTGCTCTAGTTCGTGGGAGACTATTTCATCGTCGTTCGAATCAACCACAACTGGAAGATCCATGGCGGCTTCCACGTGTGGATGCTGGTCTGTCGAATGTGGAGCTGCATCTCCAGCCATAGCCGATTCATTCGACGACGGAATAGCCTCACGTCGTAGTCGTTCGAGTTCAGCATCATCAAGTATTTTCGAGCGCATGAACCGAACCGAACTCGGTCTGCCAGGTTTTGTTCCGTGACGGGGATAGAAGGCTCCAGCTCAGCAAAAAAGCAATGCATCCGAGACCAATACGCTATTCCCACAGTTTCTTCCCCTTTCGCCCTATAGTACACCCGCAATGCGTTTTCGTTCATAGATTTTGACCAACGCATGCGACGTGCTCCACCAGCGGCGGGTGCCGCTTGCTGAGTCCGAGAAGACCCAGCCGACACCAAGCCTTCTGGTGGGGATGATGGATAATTATCTTATTATTATTATTATTGGGGGGTATGATATAGTTTTCTCATCTGGTTGGGTTCTATAAATATATAATTATAAATTAAAATGAAAAGATAAATATACATAAATATCAATAAAATTAAATAAATACAAAAATACATAAATAAAAAAAATCCCAACCAGATGGAATTTCTCGGCAGGGGAGACCAAACGGCCGAGGGTTTGGGGGAAAGGCAAAGAAACCGGCGGACGATGCGGGCGGTATCGAGGAGCACCACCTTCTGCATTTGAGCCTGGAGCAGTCCGCCACGTAGTCCCAGACGTCTCAGATGACATGAAAGACTGACTGGGATTAGACCGTTTGCAGAGACGATTACAGGAATAATTTCGGTTGGCAGACCACCCCACATGTCGGTCACCTCGTGAGCCAGGTCCAGATATTTTGTTTGCTTATCTGGTTCGGCTTTCACGAGGTTCTCGTCATACGGAATGGTAATGTCGAGCAAAAATATCCTTGACTGTGCCCGGGCCATCAGCACAATATCAGGCTTATTCGCAAGAATAGTCCTGTCTGTGATGATTGCCCGGTCCCAATAGAGCTCGGCGCGATCATTTTCGAGCACGGCTTCCGCAAGTACTTGTAATACGGCAATTTCCGATCCACGAGACCGTATTTCAGAGCGAGCTCCTGGTGAAGAATTTTGGCTACTAAGTTGTGTCTGTGCAAGTACTCAGAGTTAGAAACCGCCGAACCACCGGAGATGACATGCCTAAGTGACTCACCGGGACGGCGACAAGCTCGACAGACGTCGACGATGTCATCCTTTAGGATGTATCTCCGATAGTTGTTGGTCTTAATAACCTGATCCTGTATTGCACAGACAAAACCCTCGGTTTCCCCCGAAGAGGTCATCGAAACGTAGCCAGTTGAGGGAGGTGTCTGTATCTACGTGGGGCTCATGTAGAGCCCTGTAGTACCTCCCCTGGAGCTCCTTCTCCGTCCATACCGTCGCCCGGTCGGAAATGCTCTGTACTGCCGGGTCCTGCCTTTGCTCGTTGGCTAAGGTTAGAAGGGTAAGGTCTTTATCACAAGAAATGACATCCTTATAGAATGGATTATCCGATCTCGTCAAGAAGTGATTACGGTGCCTCACACTTCGCGATTATGCATGGTGAGCGCGCTCAAGAAGCCACGCCCAGCATGCCTTCGCGCCAAGTACAGCCTCATTACCGACGATCTCGGATGATGCATCCTATGGGACATCAAGGTAGCGCGGACTTTTCTATCCATGGCGTTAAGTTCAGTCTGAGTCCACCTGAGTATGCCAAAGGTATACATGAGGACAGGCATGACCTAACCGTTATATGCGTGTGACTTATTCATACCGGACAAAAGGTTGTTAAGCACTTTGGTCAAGCGTGCATAAAACACGTCGCAAACTGACTGTTTCATACCAGCCTTATCGATACCGATGTTCTGTGACATACCCAGGTATCGGTATGTTTCAGCCTCGGAAAGGGTCCTTAAGTTGACGGACATAGATAAGTCTATGCCCTTAGAGTTAGCCTTCCCCTTTTAACATGGAGGACTGCACACTTATTCGTCCCCAGCTCCATTCCAATGGAATTGCTAAATGCACAAGTGATGTTTAGCAATTCCATAAGGTGGGAGCGACTGGAGGCGAATAACTTGAGTTCATACATATAGAAAAGGTGGGTCATTTTTGGTCCTCCTTTCCGTAGCTGAAATCCCCTCCCGGAGCCCTCCAGTAAAGTACTGAGAGGGTCCAGAGAGAGGCAGAACCGGATTGGACTGGAAGATACCCCTTCATATCCTTATGTGGTTCTCCGCAGCTATCATCCCCTCACCCAGATGACAAAGGATCGTACTCCACTGCCCCATACACTGCTCGAGGAAGTCACTAACTGTACAGTCTATCTTGTACAGCTCGAGGACTCTCTTTAGCCATATATGGGGCACCGAGTCGAATGCCTTTCTGTAGTCTATCCAGGCGGCGGAGAAGTTCCGACGGTTGCGTTTCACCACTTTGCCAATGACCGCATCAATGAGGAGTGGTTCCTTGGTTCCACGACCACCAGCCAGACATCCATTTTGAACGCGCGACATCACCTGATTTGAGTCCAGGTGACGAGTGATTCTCGCGCTCAAAATGGATGTTAGTGTCTTATATATGGTCGGTAGACACGTGATGGGGCGGTATTTCTCGGGCTGTGGTACCCGGTCTTTAGGAACCAAATGGGTGATCCCAGTAGTGAAGAGGCTCGGGAGCAACTTCTGGTTGAGGGCCTCTTGAAACTGTCGGGCGAGCGCAGTGTGACACACCACGAACCCCTTCAGCCAGTAGTGATGCAGCCCGTCGATTCCCAGACTTTTCCAGTTCGGAGCCCTGCGGACCGCCTCAGCATCCGGTGTTATAATGAGGGGGTCCATGGGCGTTATACTCGCACACTTACTCGCCACAACTTCCGTCCAAGGGCCCTCGCTGTGGTTTACGGTCGCTGTGGTTTATTATTATATCGATGCATACAAGCTCGACGGTTAAGGGCACTTCTAATGTGGTCCAATTTTAAAACATCGCCAATTTGGTCGATAAACTTTCGTCTAGGGCGTCCCTTCCCGTCTCTTCCGTTCACACCTGCCATATAAATTTGCTTTGTCACTCTTTCTTTATTCATACTTTCTACATGAACAAACCATCGAAGCATTCCTTTCTTAATCTTGGTCACAACATCATCTTGCATACCACATTTTTCTCTTATCACACAATTTCTCACCCTGTTATTCAGATTCAACCCTAGCATACTCCTTAAAGACCGCATTTCTACACCATTTTTTCTAATTTCGTGCTTCTTCTGCCACACCCAACTTTCACTACCATTCATTAAAGTAGGGATTAACACAGCATTATGAATTACCATAGGAGCCTTTTTTGACACATTGTGATTCTTCATAATAGAGTGTAGAGTAAGATCTAATTGCGTGCACTATTACCGCTACCACGTATTCCAACGCCACTGTAGTGGCGTCGGGATTAAACTACTAATTTAATACGACACGAGTTTCGATCTTCAGAAGAAATCAAATCTGTGATGTTTGACTGATTTTAGAGGTCAGCCATCATTAGCTAATATTTTGTGTAATGGTACAAATGCCACCTGGTTTAGTGATCAGCACACTGTAACTCTGTATTAAAATTTCAAAGCCCAGAAATAAGTTAGGTACAACAGTATGGATATCTTCAAAACAATATCTAAATCTAGCAATAATCTCGGAGATCGGATTATTTAAAATAATAGGATGAAAAAAGATGACTTTGCTTATTATTTATCGAATCTGATTGATATTTCCACGAGGCCAATGTAAAGGATAAATTTTTTACGCCTATCAATACATCTTATGCATCTTATGGAAAAAAGGTCTCTTCACGACTCTTGGTGTAATAGACCATTTACGAAATGTCCACGATGTGAAGTTTGGTAGACATCACATATCTTCTAAATATTTTTTAACGAAACGATAAAAATATTCACGGTGTTTTATTGAACAGTCGTGCGCGTTTTAATTCAGTGGTAAAAATTATAATGAACAGTTTAAGTCAGATATTATGTAGCTGCCTACATAATGTCTGACTTAAACTATTTATTATAATTTCTACCACTTGTCCCGTCATGGTTTCCTGAACTATGTTATCCTAAGAGCTCTTGTCTCTTAAAACATTCCCTCGGTTTTAGAGCCTTGTGGAATATTTAGAAATTATGACAGGTGACCTGATGCTATAATTTAGTTCCTTGGAAGTGAGGTAAACTCCTAAAAAGAAAAGAAGTAAAAAAAATATGTAGTGTCGGATGGTATGCGTATAGCCACTAGCAGTCTCTCATCTCTAGAGTACCTTTGATGAACTGTATTCGTGATTTATATGATAATTTCAATTTTAAAATTTGTTTTTTTTTTAAATATGGCAATAAATACAGTTTAAGATATTTCGGCAATACGCTACACGTTTTAAATACACACACAATTTTTAAATGTTTTTTTATCGTTTAGTTGTATATAATATCATAATAAGGATTTCCATTATTATTAATTTTATGTTGTACGATCCACAACGTGAACTAAGTTTGAGTAGAACATAATAATATGATTAAATATTACCCAAAAATATTAGGCATTTTCGTTTGTGGAGCATTAGGTGTCCGCATGCTGAAACCGTATAAATTAAATCAGACTAATGTCGACTTTGCGCCTAATAGGCATTATTTCAAAGCCAACATCACCAATAGTTTCGGTCTCTACAAGTGTCTAGTAGTTTTTCGTGTTGTACTCGCGTAAAGCCGAGTGTTTCGTCTGGCTGTACCCGTTATGACTTTGTGATTATTCATCAATTGGAACATTTACGACAGGGGAAAT